TCCATATCCGATTTGCCAGTAGTGCCGCCGTCGCTGCTGCTGCTGCTGCTGCTGCTGCTATGTCTTAAAACTCGTATTCAATTTGGCTATAGCGCGCGGGGCATGTATATGTATGTATCGTCGGGTGGTGTATACGCGCGTGCCAGAGAGAGTCCACCTTCAAAGCGACCCGAGAGCTGCAGCGACGAATCAGCATTGATGTCGTCGCGGCCAAGCTCCACTATTAATCTTACATTATAGGGTTTATACAGCGAGGCAGTCCGGCAGCAGCAGCAGCCTCGAGCTCGTTTTATCTCGAGCTGCGTACGACGCACACGCGCTTCTATATAGCCTGTATACCCCCTTTGAAAGTTGTTCTATATCGTATATGCACGGACATGTTGTCTGTGTGTGTGTGTGTGTGTACTTTCCTATCTCAAAGTATAGGCCAATCATTCGTCGAGGGCTCGCCAGTCGACTGGAATTTTCAATTCCTCGGCTCGTTTTATACACATGTATATGTCTCGACGCGCGTGTATAGCCACGTACACACGACTCCGAACATTAAATTATATTCGACCGATCGCCCGGCTACCAAGTTTATATCTATTTTTTTTTTGCTCCGAAAAACGTTTGATTTCGGAAAATTGAATTACATCGAAAGAATCATTGGATTTGAGTTCAAGATAATACGACGGAACGGTTACGTACACCAGCTCGGCTCCTCGAGTATCGATCAGTATAGCGCAAAACGCGATCGAGGCAAATCGATAATCTTCGTCGAGCGAACTGGATAATTTTTTTTTTTTTTTCATTAGGGAAACTTCCAAGCGAGAATAGTTAATTAATTCGCACTCACGGATTCGAAGAAAAGGCAATCATTTCTTTCTATAAACAGCAATGCCATTCGAGCAGAAAGAGATTTTTATTATACGGACTTCTTATGTATTCGCTGAATGCCATTCGATTCTCTTTTTCACTTGCTGCTGCTGCCGTTGCGTTGCTGCATGGCTCGGCCGTTTTTGGGCGTTCAGTTTACGCACGAACAGTACCGCGTGTATTTAATAAAGAATGCAGTACACTCTGTTATGCGCGCGCCTTTGCGTATCCTCGTATGCGAAAAATGTTGAAAAGGACAGAAATAGAAAGGCAGAGAATGCGTGCGTGTGCGTAAGTGCGTACACACACACACGCACACATTTATACATTTGAGAAAGAGACAGAGCGAGGGATGGTGGGTCAAGCGATCCCCCGGGGGGCCGTTAAAGTGAAATACTCGGGCGAACGCAAGGTGGCCTGCTGCAGACTCTTTCTTCCTTTCTTTCTTCCTTTCTCTTTTTGCCTCCCTCTCTCTCTCTCTCTCTCTCTCTTCAGCCAACGTAATCTCGTCTTTTTTTTTCTTTCCTTTTCGCACATACACGAAAATATACCAAGAGGCAGCAGTAGCAGCTCTGGCGCGTCTGTGCAGTGCTGCCGCTGCTCGTGTTAGCATGGGGTTACACCAGCCGCTGGACGCCTGTATATAAGGTAAATCGTTGTTATCTGGACAGTGATAAACCCGTGAATGGTGTGCTCAAGCTGGTACTGTGCTTGGCTTGCGCCGACGCCGACGCCGCCGTGCGCCTGTGTCGAAGCTAGTATAGCTACTCCAAATGCAAAGAGGGAGAAAATAAGTAACGAGTGGCTATTCGCCCGGGCTAGTACTAATACTACAGGCGGCGATTCCAAAGAAAGAAAGAGAGAGAGAGAGAGACTCGTTTTCTCTATATACGCGCGGGGGTGTGAGCCTCAGACGAATGGCTCTGTTTATGCGAACTATAGAAACTCGACTCGGGCTATCTTTCTCTTGTACTTATATATAGACGGGCGCGAGCACTGCCGGACATCGATGGCACACCACCACCGCACTCGGGCAGTTCGCATGTACACTAGGCTACGCGTGGGGAAATCGCACACAGCCAGAGCGCCGTGGTATATAGTTATACGAGTCCTGCCAGAGAGAAAAAAGTTTTCGCCACTAATGTCCCTCTTTCGGCCCTCTGCGCCCCGAATATTAATGGAGCTTGAGAGCTTTCGTACGTTCGGAGCTCCGACGGCCGTTTCGAGGGCCCTTTTGATTTAAATTCGTCGGCCATCTCGAGGTCCATTTTTTATTTCTTTTCATTAAATCTCGTACGGATATATCGATCTTGAGACCTGCTGAAATATGTAGACTATTTGGCCAGCTCGAGGACGCTACATATAGAGAGAGAACGAAATAAACCACGAGATGATAATTCAATTTTCCCCTGAGATGATCCATAATAATGAAAGTAGGGTCAGTGGCTGGCTGTGCGCCTGCGCTTTTTCTGCTCCTCTATATAGTAGTAGCTCGAGAGAGACGAGAGAGTCTGTGTGTCCTGTAGCGCCGCGCCTTGTACATAGGCAGGGGGCTAAAAAGCGCTTGCGAGCCATGCAAACACACGCATACGCGTAACGCACCGTAAGATTAAAGGGACCTTACGCTCTCTCGTGGCCCGAAAAAAGACAGACGGAGAGAGAGAGAGGGTGTATGTGTGTACACAAACCGTATACGAGCTCGGGCAACTCTCTCGACGTTTGCTCGCTGATAGAGAATGGCCAAAATCTATCGGTAACTTTGATATCACGCGCCGATGCAGTCGGTCGAACACAATTTCGTTAAAAGCCAACTCTTTTTGTGCTCGCATAGCTTTTCGATCGCCTCTTTGATGTACATGCAGATATTTATGTACTACCAGGATATCGCGCATAGCATCGCGCCTCCGAGTTGAAGCCAAGATAAATATTCACCTCGACACTGCATAAAATGATGGAAAATAAAGTCATTTCCGATTTTAGTAATCTACATTGTTAAAAAAACCTTACTTTTAATACAAAATTGAATGTTAAAACAGAAATTAACATTAAAGTAAATAAAACCGATTTCTTTTTCATTATCTGCACAAAAAATATATGAAAACTGATTATTTTTAATGCAAAACTAAACAAAAACGACTTGATTCTGAAACTTAATTTAAACAATTTGATTAATAATTAATGTTATAGTATTGATTTATTTTTTGCGTTAACGCAGCACAAAAGTGTATGAAAATTCAATCATAATTAAATCTAGCATCCACCATAGATGGCGAATACCTTTATTTGTAAGTCTTCAAGTGGCAAAGTCAATGTAATTGTATAAGTAGAAGCAAGATACACCTTAATATGCATATTAAGCGGAATTTAAAAAATACACCTTACAGTGGTAAATTTTCTTGTTACACGTACAATAATTAAAATAATTCGTCGAGCGACTCGGTGTAAATATATAGTTAGCCGTCAAACTGTATCCATACGTGGGCGCGGGCAGCTAAACGATGCTAATTTTGCTGCCGAAACATCGCGCAGGGTCGAACAGGGCAAAACTGAGTGGAATAAGGGACTGCACGTCATATCGGCCACTGCGTAAATCATTCATCAAGCGCGTTGCAACACGACCATGTATGTTATTCTCGTGAATACGTGAGTCACTCTCGAGAGAAAAAGACGAGCGATCGAGTCGAGCAATCGGTCACGGCGCACTGCACACAGCGGCCCTTGACTTCTACAAGCGTTTGTGCGTTTACGCGAATGTGTCCGTGTACGTGTGTGCGGGCGTCCACGGCACCCACCCGCACAGTGGCCAAATTCAAATGCGCGAGGCAACTTGATCGACGACGACAACGAGAGGTCCTCCCTCGACGGAGGCCAATCAAGATCACTACGTGCTATACGATCGTTGCGCTGATTCGGCAGCTATATATTATACAACATGTAGCCGAGACGTCGTTCGGAAGTGATATGCATGTCGCTTATGCGAGGCTGTACGCAAGCTCCTAAATATACGCATGTATTATTATTAAACATATTTTAGGTGCAATTTCGCAAAGCTCGCAATTACGCTCGTTCCCGCATATATATCGTGCCCGACGTCCCTGATTCCCCGCGCGATCCATCCTCATGGTACATGCGCGCGTGCAGCGTGTACGAGAGTTATTTTTTTTTGTTTTCGACCGAGCGAGTCATCCAGCGTAACGTTCAATCAAAAGTAAGTTAATGACGTTTTAATTGTCGTACACGAGCGAATCATTGTTTCGTATGTGCATGCTTATACGCACTCACACACACACACACACACGTGCGCGCGCTTGTTCGTTGGTATTATGCGAGATGCACTGCGTGCACATATAATACGAAGGCAGTTGGAATTATACAACGAATTCGTTTGCTCGTTTTTAATACCAGCGCGAGTACATAATACGAGATGTGTGTAATTAATGTACGCGTTTCTTGAATGCAGTATGCAGCGAAACGGACCGGGTGACCCTGCAGCGCACCCGCGCTAATGAGTACGTATATTTGCGTTCATCATTCGGCGCGGTCACTATTACGAATTATATACACGTGTGCGCAACTGCTGCAATATGTTGCACTGCAATCGATGAATATCGCATCCCTAAGTATATCGAATGCAAATGAAGACCAAAGATGATCATGTAGTTTATTCAGGAAAAAATCATATTTATTTTTATTCGCATAGTTATATTCACTGTCAAAAAACACAGCTCGAACGAGGAGAAGAAAGAAAAGCTGCGATCACATGCAGAATAAAGAAAGTCACACTGGCTCGATAAAAATACAGCATACAGAAAGAGGAGAGGAGAAAGACCAAACTTACGCGCACAAGCTCGAGCTAATTATACGCGTTCAGGCCGTCGCCGTTGATAAGATGGAATAAGTAGCCCCCCGACTTACCCTCTGCGTAGACGAATATGTATATAGTTGCTAATGCCTGGCAGATATGTATCCTCGTGCCGCTGTAACCCACAGCAACCTTTATTTTCGCAGTTCTGCATGCTATGACTTGACGCAAGCTCGTCTAATTCTTATATTGATTTTTTGCCCATATTCAAATAAATTATTCTTATCAACAGTATTAATAACGAAAGTTTCATTTCCTTTTTTGTTTTTTGTGGAAGCAGCCAAGATATGGCTGAACCAAAGCGAGCTCGGTTGGCGAACGGAGAAGAGCTTGAAGCGTCACTCCTCGCCGCCGCAAAGCTCGAGCCCAAAGACGACGATGAGCACTACGACGAGCGCGCCGAACGCCCAGGCGCTGTCGCCCAGCAGCGCGGCCGGTGGTGCCGCCGGTGGGGACCTGCCGCTGCTGCCGCACACTTCCTCGCCCATCAGCATACCCACCAGCAATCTCGATCTCAGGAGTCCACCTGCGCTGCACGTGAAAAATTTGGGCCTCTCGCCGAGTGAGTACACAAAATACGTTTGAATTTTTTTCCTTTTCAGCTTCTTTTTTCATGCGAAGAATCGCCTCGTAGATGGGATATCTATTTCATTTTCTCGGAGTTCGTCTGCTATATATGTATTTATCGTATCAACTCGCAAGAGTATTACAAGTATATCGATCGCCTACGGATATCGTCCCAACGAAATGCGGCAGGCAAAATGAAGCAAAAAAAAAAGTAGAGAAAAAGAAAAAGAGAGCGAGTTAAAGGACGAATCTCCCTCGCGGCGATCTTGAAAGGCGGAAGCCGAGGCTCTCTCGTTTGCTTAAGCAAACATTCGGTGCTGCGGTGGCGTATTACAATGCATTCATCCTCTTACCTATATACGCACACATACTCCGTAGTATCTCAAGCTGGCCAAGAGACTTTATAAGCATACGCGGCGGCGGTGGCTACTACGATGATTCAGACCTGACCAGCATCTTCTCTCTCTCTCTCTCTCTCTCTCTCTTTCTTACCTCTCTTTTTTCACTTTCATATATGTACGCGGGGGGCACACGATGTTTAATGCATCGCTCAAGAACATTTCCATGTCAAACATCGGCCCTTTGACTCACGGAATTTAAAACCGCTACTTCACCTTCTCTCTATCTCTCTTTTTCTCGCAGCGATCCATACTCGCCATACCTTTATAGCGCATACGTATTTATTCCGTCTCATCTTCCTCGAATATGCATAGATTTTCAGGGGTTTCTTCATTTTGCGATAAAGATTGAACTGAACACTTTTTCATATATGAATACGACATGTATATACGCCAAACTCGATAGGGTCCAACGTATACGCTCTTCGAGTTTTCTTTATACAACATAATTTTTGCGCCTCGTTATAATAAATACAACTTGCGGTAATGTAATCAAGACTCCAATAGATGCTGTACAGATCCCGACGATAAACGAATCGATCAGGTGGCATTTAATGGCACATAATTGATTTAGAGTACTCGAGGCGAAAAAAAAACACATACACACACAAGCAGTGCACGTGTCTGTTAAAAAGCAATCTTCAAAGTCGTCCGACTGTGTAACGTATGGTATAAGGTGTCGCGTGTAAATTACGTCCGTCTGTTTGGAGGACCCCTTTTTTCTCCGCTTCGATTTACGCTTTTCCCTGGGGACGATCGTTTTTTTTCTGTCTTAAAAAAAAGGAGCGCGAGGGAGTGAAGGAGGAAAGAAAAGTAAATGCCCTGAAACAAAGCTGGCTCTAAATGAATAGGAAAACAAGTGGAAAAAATCAAAATATTTTTAATCACCCATATGATATTTCATTGAACGAAAACGTCACAGTTTTGAACGCGTTTTCATTTTTATCAACCCTATCGTAGCCGTAAAAAATTCGGTCGAGAGCAATAATCCAGCTCTGCGAGCGAAAAGTAGCTGCTGCACATTCGGTATACGCACAACAAAGAGCATTCGCCAAGTATGATATATAAAAAAAAGGCAGTATAAAATACAGCGTAAGTTCAAAGTACGGGTCACGCGTGTGTATATTCAGCATGTGTTTGTGGAAATAAAGAGTCGCGCTAGGTGAATTATTAGCTACATACATTTCAACTATTATTGCCGAGTGTAAAACATGGCGACATTTGGCGTTAAATCGATCAGGGTGCGCGAGGGAGAGAAAAAGAAAAAAAGAGAAAAAAAGGAAAAGACGCGCGGGTTGCAAGTCGGCCGAATCACTATCGTCGCGAAAAAGCTGGACAATTGTAAAAGTCGCTAGCAATATCTGTATTTTCAATTTTCAAATCATGTCATGAAACTTTGAATTTAGCAATGGAAACGATACAATAAATGCAAAAAGTTGTCAATTTCAATTATTAATTAATATAAAACATTTTTTTATCACCAATATATTATCACGGAAAAACTAGAAATTAAAAGATTAATCGATGATACGCGAAGCGCACCGAGAAAGAGTTCGTATTATTTACAAGAACACGTTCGTGGAGTTTTTCGATTAAATGTTCTCGAATGGCATGCAATATGCAAACTCTGCTCGCGCCTAATAATCATCTCGTTGTGCCGCGAACTTATATTATACATCGTTGACTTTGTAATTTGCGAATAGATAAAATTTCATCCCGCAAACTATTACCAGGCCTGGAAAAAAGCTCTCGTATCAATTGCGATCACAATTTATATCGCAGTCCAGGGTCACGTATTTACGTATATTATACTAGTACACATACACACACATACACATATGCTGCACGTGTATGTATATAATATTATATATAGCTGGCCGGCTGGCAATTAACGGATCGCGACGTGCTGGGCGCGCGCACGAGCGGGCTATACAACCGAGAGAGCCGAGCTCTGCAGAAGCAGGAGCAGTAGAAGCAGCAGCAGCAGCAAAGAGAGGAGTTGCTGGATATATGCATGCTGGATATATACCTACGTGTCGGGGCCATGGCGAGTCGATGATTTTTTCGCAGATCATAATTTCAGATATACAAGTCCGCGAGAAAAGTCTCATATAATATGCACGCGCGCGCGCGCGAGAACGAGCGAGCGAGCGGCTCACGGCGTGCGCTGCGCTGCGGCTCTCGTATACGTACGTATTACTCGCATGGTATAGGCAAATTGAGGTGAGATCGCGCGAGAGGCCGAGGTTATAATGCCTCTTTGGCGCGATGTGCATCTCTTTCTGGACTCGACTCGCCGTATACATATGCAATACACACCTATATAATAAAGGAAACGCAATAGAATCGAGCTCTAGCTGGGCACTGTGCGCGCACACATCTTTCGGTGCATATGTGTGTGTGTGTGTGTGTGTGTGTGTGTATGCCAGGATGTGTATAAAGTATCGAGCCAAGGGCTCGTTAAATAATACGCGAGGTAAAGTTATGGCGCCTGCTGCTGCTGCTGGCCGCGTCTCAACGCTGCTGCGGCTGCTGCTTACTGCCAACGATGTTATAAGCGCATCCTTTATTTATGACGCCTGCGCGAACTGCTATCTGGAATACATTTTGCCGCGTGCGAGCGGCTAGTTAATTTATTAATAAATCCTTCATTCCTTCCTCGACTCTTTCTTTTTTTTTCTAATCTAGACGGACGATCCCTCGCGAGGTCCCGGTTCATCGTTGGGATGCACATACATGCATGCAACTGTGCAGTTTATGAGTTGCGAAAACCGCGAACTCGTCGAGTTGTGCGCGTCCATCACAGCAGTAACTGCACATATTTGCCTATTTACCTCTGCACTCGTTACAAGCAATTCGAAAAATTATCAACGACCTGATGCGCGTGATCAAGCTGCTGCATTGTTTACATCTCTCGCGGCTCGATGCAGATGCATATCCTCGTATTTATACCGATCGTTTCGCGATGAAAAATCGAAAAATCTCATTTTGCTTATAAAACGTAATAGAGACTCGGTATACCGAGCCGCAATAGAGAGGTTAAATTATCCTTCTGCGTGTATAGTCTTCGCTTGCGCGCCGTATATACACAGGATTAACCCTCGATCGTCTCGAGAGCCTCCACCAGCTCGCACATAAACACGTAATACGTATTCGCGAATCGCAATCGGCTCCATAATTTTAATAGCTATTTTATAAGCATCTCGTCCTCGGCACGAAAGCCTCTGCTATAGTATACATATATCCCAGCTCGCGCTCAAGTACGCGTATATTCACGTGTGTGTGTGTGCATATAATATGATGCGAGGTCCGAGAGCTGGAGCTTGCGCGAACGATTATTATTAAGTCAATACGTCGCTAACTCATCAGTGCGTCGCTTATATCTTTTTAGCGGGACGGGGTCCGGACTGCAGCACTGCGAGCACCGCAGCAGGTATCCGCCCTCTAACAGCCCCGGTAATTCCTTTCTTATAAATACGCGCGCGTCTGGCCAGGCTAATGCAACCTCGACGTAAAATGGACGTGCGCGCCGCAAAGGTGAATCGACGCTGCTCGAGCCGAGCCACACGAGCTGGATATGGACCTTTCCTCTTATACACACACACATACACACAGATCCTGCGCATGTGTGCGCGTATAAGGCGTTATTACAGTCACGATCTGCTCTAATACAATATATGCGCGAGGCAGTGCAGTGCAGAGAGAGCCTCTCCTCGCGCGCGCGCGTATGTGTAAGAGCTTTTCATTTTTCGACTCGTTATAATACCCCTCTCTCTTTTCCTCTCTTCCTCGTTTTCTCTCGCTCTTTTACTGCCTCGCGCGCGCGCGCATGGATCTCTTCACTGCGCACTGCGCCTTACGCCGCGGCTGCTATTATCTCGCCTCGTATCTCGGGCCTTTTCCAGCGCATAGCCCTGGCTGCGACTAGCTGGCTATCAGTATGCTGGCTATGTGTCTGCAGCAACCTTTGTATGTATATAGATATTTAATACTCGCCGTAGTAGACAGTTTCTAACGATAATGCGATACTGTCTAGGAGAGGAGATTTATTATAATATTGGCGAAAATTGCCCTCCCTTCTTCTCTTTCTCTCTCTCTCTTTTGCTCCCACTATATGCACGAGCAGCGCACGCAAACATTAGCAGATAATTTAGACCTTCAAATGCACACGCGCCTCTCTCCCTCGCAAACGTAATTAGCTTTTCACGTGTGCAATGCAGTAACAGCATAGCGCACACATGTATATGCAGTTACACATGGACGATTTATTCTTTGTCTTTTTCTTTTTCTTCGAAAAAACAAAAAATATCACAATGGATGCACGTATAAGGATGCGGGATGGATATGTATAGCTACGTTTCGTGTGCACGTTCACGATATCGGCGGCGAAACCTCCATTTTTGAATGGAATTCGCATTCACGGCTGCGCAACTAACAAGGCCGCGAGTCGTATATTATTATATCGGCCGGCCAGCAGCAGCAGCAGCCAATCATGTATAAGCTCGTCAGCTCGAAATACTCGCACGAACGCGCATATCCATGATGCTCTCGTGCATGTGCATGGCTGATTTGTTCGCGCAATATTGTATACAACCGT